AGTGACTATAAACAAGATCAAATAAAATAATGAAATATTAATATCATTAAGCAATTTGCGAAATTCTTGTTTATCTCAATTTTAAGGTCAATGGGCCTACACTGATTGGTTTCTAAGTTACACGATTGGACTGTATTTATGACAAAAATGAGTAGATATTATATGAGAGTTGAAAAAGTATTAAACAAATTTAAGAGTATTAATGTTTCACGTTTACCTTGTCAAAGAAAGAACAAAATATCCGATGGCTTCCGTTTCTCACAACTGACGAAAACAATCTTTCTTTTGCACGAAGGTCTGCAGTCTAATTATAACACAAATGCGAAATAGTTTCCAGATATTATAGGGTCACAAGAAGTTGTAGAATACGAAAATACTTGAAAGGCAACCGTGAAGAAACATGTCAGTATATCGATCGTGGAAACAGATAAGGCTATCGAAAACTGCAGAAGATTGAACGAGATGATCGGATTACGCTTCGTAATCTGTACTTACGATATTTGTACAACATACTGGATTTCATTTTTAAGAGATATATAACGGTCTCCGATAAGTTTTCGAGAAAGAAACAACGGAAGTTTATACAACGATTACTGTTTTGTGTCTCGATAAAAATCGAGCGGATTTTTATGGAAAATAAAAATTGTCTCCAGCATATTTAGTAAAATATGCTAAGTAGATCATGTACGAAATTTTTACCGTATCTAACTCGTTGTAATACACTCGGTGAAATTTTTTTAGTATGTTTACAGTTATTTATTGACGAGTGAGATAGCCTCTGGTTTATAAATATACTGATATATTAATAATATAAGTAATATAAGATATTAGTAATATATAATATAATATAATATAATATAATATAATATAATATATAATTATAAGATATTAGTAATATATTAATAAATATACGTAAGTAGAATTACTACAAGAAACGCTAAATGTAGGATGACATAATGAAGGAGATATTATATTTGATCTACTCGACTTTCTGATAAATCGATGAAATCCGCAGCCTAGTTAACACAATCTTGCAAAACAGTCTGTAATTGTTTCATTGCAAACACGATTTGAATGTAAATCAGTGAATGTGAAAAAAACGTATAAACGGAATATCGCGGATGCGTGAATAGACACGAGTGACGAAAATAGACGAACCCCGGTCTACCAACGATTCGTTTGATGTTAAAATTATTTTATCGAATATTTGTGGTAGTCGAAAGAGGTATTATCAGTTCCCCGTATCGTAAATCCAACAAATGTCGATAAAATGAGAACCGGGTCGACGAGAACGCGACTATTTCGAAGACGTCGCCGTGAAAACAAGCCAGCGTTCTCGACAGAAGTCGAGGAACTTGTTAGATCGATGATAGAAGTTCGCGATGAGCAAAAGAATGTCTTCACCGCGAATAGAAACAAATTGCTTCCCGGTTATCATCGATAATATCGTGCGGTTTCGCAGCGTGCACGTTTAATCGAAGCCAGCGGGAGAGCGTATTAACACCGCGAGCCGGCGAACGCTGTTGCCAACATTTGTAATAATGTTGGTTAAAACGCGCGTCACGCTCGTCCCGCGAATCGATAAAAATATTACCGCTTTATCGTGCGAGCACGCCAGGAAATTTTTCCGCCAGAAATTCCGCGATTTTGCAGAAATCATTAAAAATGCCGGCGCGTTGATATTTTTTAATTTCGTTTATCGTCACCCCGGAGAGACCGTGCGCCTCGATTTCTCTGCGACCGTTGTGTCTCGTGTGTTTGCGTTTGTCGATACCGGCGCGACATGTATTTCGATATCTCGCGGGCTAAAGAAATTTCTAGAAAAGATATTGATCGGAATTACACGGATTTTCTGCACTTCTAAGACGTATCGTAGATTACTTATCTTTCGCACATCGATATTACACCTACACACTGTAATGTATCTAATCGGTAGATACGTGTACGATCGAAATTCCTTTAATTGTCTGCATGCTGTAATGAAGATTGCAAATAGCCGACAGATTGAATTCGTGTAGGTATAATCTTCTGAGGATTCATTCATGAATACACGTGCTCGCATAATCGTCTCCGGAGTATCGACGATAAAGTTACGTTCGCGATACCAATCTACACGTCGTGACATACGAAAAATCATGAATTCTGTAATTAAATGAATTCAGCAAACTAAACGATCGATCTTCATCAGTTAACGAACTTATGTTCGTTATCTGTGATGCAATTAATATGAAATAATACTGCTGTAATGCAGCTTAATTACAGGACTACCGAATACCGGTGATCCTTGAAACTAACTTCCCGATAATATCTCGCCGCTTCGTGCGTTATCTGCGTTAAAATAAAATTAAAATACATACTTCGGACGCCGGTTAACGAATGCGTTTCGTTAAGCAAATCGTTGAAGCCTTCGAATGGGTATGTTAATTGGCGGCGTGCAAATAAGAATCGTGTTCACCGACTCCGCGCGCTAAAACGTCCGAACAAAAATGCTACAAATTGGGGAAATTTATCGGGTTTCCCGGTGTTGAATAATCGNTATAATATAAGATATTAGTAATATATAATATAATATAATATAATATAATATAATATAATATAATATAATATAATATAATATAATATAATATAATATAATATATAATTATAAGATATTAGTAATATATTAATAAATATACGTAAGTAGAATTACTACAAGAAACGCTAAATGTAGGATGACATAATGAAGGAGATATTATATTTGATCTACTCGACTTTCTGATAAATCGATGAAATCCGCAGCCTAGTTAACACAATCTTGCAAAACAGTCTGTAATTGTTTCATTGCAAACACGATTTGAATGTAAATCAGTGAATGTGAAAAAAACGTATAAACGGAATATCGCGGATGCGTGAATAGACACGAGTGACGAAAATAGACGAACCCCGGTCTACCAACGATTCGTTTGATGTTAAAATTATTTTATCGAATATTTGTGGTAGTCGAAAGAGGTATTATCAGTTCCCCGTATCGTAAATCCAACAAATGTCGATAAAATGAGAACCGGGTCGACGAGAACGCGACTATTTCGAAGACGTCGCCGTGAAAACAAGCCAGCGTTCTCGACAGAAGTCGAGGAACTTGTTAGATCGATGATAGAAGTTCGCGATGAGCAAAAGAATGTCTTCACCGCGAATAGAAACAAATTGCTTCCCGGTTATCATCGATAATATCGTGCGGTTTCGCAGCGTGCACGTTTAATCGAAGCCAGCGGGAGAGCGTATTAACACCGCGAGCCGGCGAACGCTGTTGCCAACATTTGTAATAATGTTGGTTAAAACGCGCGTCACGCTCGTCCCGCGAATCGATAAAAATATTACCGCTTTATCGTGCGAGCACGCCAGGAAATTTTTCCGCCAGAAATTCCGCGATTTTGCAGAAATCATTAAAAATGCCGGCGCGTTGATATTTTTTAATTTCGTTTATCGTCACCCCGGAGAGACCGTGCGCCTCGATTTCTCTGCGACCGTTGTGTCTCGTGTGTTTGCGTTTGTCGATACCGGCGCGACATGTATTTCGATATCTCGCGGGCTAAAGAAATTTCTAGAAAAGATATTGATCGGAATTACACGGATTTTCTGCACTTCTAAGACGTATCGTAGATTACTTATCTTTCGCACATCGATATTACACCTACACACTGTAATGTATCTAATCGGTAGATACGTGTACGATCGAAATTCCTTTAATTGTCTGCATGCTGTAATGAAGATTGCAAATAGCCGACAGATTGAATTCGTGTAGGTATAATCTTCTGAGGATTCATTCATGAATACACGTGCTCGCATAATCGTCTCCGGAGTATCGACGATAAAGTTACGTTCGCGATACCAATCTACACGTCGTGACATACGAAAAATCATGAATTCTGTAATTAAATGAATTCAGCAAACTAAACGATCGATCTTCATCAGTTAACGAACTTATGTTCGTTATCTGTGATGCAATTAATATGAAATAATACTGCTGTAATGCAGCTTAATTACAGGACTACCGAATACCGGTGATCCTTGAAACTAACTTCCCGATAATATCTCGCCGCTTCGTGCGTTATCTGCGTTAAAATAAAATTAAAATACATACTTCGGACGCCGGTTAACGAATGCGTTTCGTTAAGCAAATCGTTGAAGCCTTCGAATGGGTATGTTAATTGGCGGCGTGCAAATAAGAATCGTGTTCACCGACTCCGCGCGCTAAAACGTCCGAACAAAAATGCTACAAATTGGGGAAATTTATCGGGTTTCCCGGTGTTGAATAATCGCGATAAAAGCAAGGCACAGCCGGATAATACAAAATATCTCGCGATATTTTTGCGCGGCTTGAAACGTTCTTTACGGTGTCAGAAAAACGGGGTTCCGAGCTGATAAAGCGAATCGAATTCGCAGTTCGATAGACAATATTCAATAAACTTTCATATATTATGAACTTATTGGTTTTCGAAACCGCGAATTTTGATGCGAAATAAAAATTGTCTAAATCGATTGCAACAAAAAGATAAGTCGTTTTTCTTGTAAATTTTAAAAAAATAGAGATGGCTTCTGTAAGCCAACTGGTTGAATTTCCTATGCCTAGATTGAAACAGATGTCTCCATTTTGTTGTTGAAACAGCCTCGAGTGCAAACGATTAAACGCGTATCCACTTTCGATAAAAGTGTCTCGTAATCGACAATTACAATTTGAAAAATAACGATACAATCATATTAGACATCTTCATTTGTCGAGGACTGTACACTCGGGAGTATTCGACGTCTGATTCGGTAACGAGAGTTTTTACAAAAGAGAACTGGTAATAATGTGGATCGGTCGAGACTGGTGTCCGACAACGTCATTGGATGAGAACGAGAAAGAAGCGCAACAATTACATCGTCGGTGGCCTGGCACGAGAATCAGTCGCGGCCGCCGCCGCCGCCGTCGTCGTCGTCGTCGTCGCGTGCAGTCGCAACGGGACGCGGTGCATCGGGACGGTGACGTCCGAAGTGCGTGGCGGACCGACTGCAAATTGCAGGCTGCAACGGCGGCGCCGCGTGCGATTCGAGGCTAACTTATCCCCGGGTCCCCGAGAAAGCTGCGCCGCACCGTTCCGGCGCCTACGGAGGCCGCGTGGGGCGGTGCACACGGCTACCGTGATCAAGAAGTAGGTGGAGAAGGACAACGCGCGAGCGCGAGCCCCGTGCTTATGCGAGTGCATACGTGCTACTCGGTGCATGCGCCTGCGTCCGCGATAACGCGCCAACCGGTGACTTAACAATGGAAAACCGACCGACAAAAACTGGTCGCCGTATCGGCGAAACGGTAACCGAACTGCCAGCACTGCCAGTGACGCTCTCCGTCGGCTTGACTCGTCGGCGACGTCTCGTTTCGATGTTGCTCGGTGGTCTTAAAGATCATGGTAAGCGATGCGATTTTGCATTTATGGGGAAAATGACCGGAGGAGGTACCGAATTGGAGAGAATATAGAATAACGTAAGGATGTTTTTACGTTCCTAATTTATTAGAATTAATAGAATATTAATATTATAGAATTATTAGATATATAATAATAATAAATGATATATATTATATTAGAATTAATAATTAGACAGAATATGTTGCTGTTTAACGCTCGAACGGCAGATTTCGTTGACGAAAATATACGATATATTCATGAAAATAATTGCAACATATTTTGTAAGATACTTCTTATGTAACAATAATATAGAATATACATAATATTATAAATAATATTTAGACTCTGGGTCCGAACGGACCCGAGCCCCGTCATCCGAGTCTATCGACAATCACGCCTAAATTTTCTTTTCACCATCAGAGCAATTTTGAATCCCTTTGAATACCGTGAAAATTGTATTTTCTTACTTCGCTTTATGTGGTTATATTTTCTTTCTTTCTTTCACATTCATCATTTTTTGTTTGTACGCGCACAACTGCATTTGCATAAAGTTTCACAGGCATGCTATCAGTTAACTTCGTTAGACTCGAAATTCTTTTTGCACGCAAGTCGAATATAGACGATTTTTAGCGTTTCGCAAGCGACGTAAATGAACACTGTCGGAACGTATCTATTATCGAATTGCTCCTAATCCATAAATATTATCCATAAATATTAATAGTCCCCGTACATTTATGTTACACGCTGTTCACGGCACACCGGCGTGACTTGCGCTTTTGCAACGCTATGAAACAATCTCGAATCTAACCAGTGACCTTGAATGCGAATAGTCAATTCGCAAAACCAGTTACTTATGTTAAAAAGATTGCATGATCTGCAGCAGCCATTTTCATCGCAGGAAAATCAATTCGATGACATGAAACAGATTCGCGTGTTCGAGAATGTTGTTTTGTATTACTATGATTTGCGATGCCGAGAAAAATGCGAGAAAATCGTTCGCGAGCATAAATATTTCGTGTTTAACTCTTTCAATGTTTACTCTGGCACGGGAGAGAGAGCCACATCGTCTAATTCGTAGTATTTATGAAAAAAAAAATTGATTTCTAATATGAGCATAATGCGAGCATATAAGTAACACGAGTATAATGTGAATACAGGTAATATAAGTATAATGCGAGTGCTACAAGTAATATAAGTACAATGCGATCACGAATATGTAATATGATTATAATGCGAGTAGAAATAATACGATTTGAATAACATTCCCATAACCCTTTTTAATTTTACCCGGCACTGAAATTAACTGTGTAGTTAGCATAAATTGACGTCGACGTGAACGATCGGCGAATGATCCACGAATGAATTCCTATTGCGTTCAGGATTCATTGAGTAGAGTTGAACCAAGTATCGAATCAAGTTCAGATTACTGGTCAATTATAGTTCGACTATCGTTCACAGCCGTCCAGGTTGTGACCCGGTGCTCCGTTAGTTCCACAAGATAGGAGAACCGACGGTCGAGTCGATGCCGAGGTATAGTTCGTACGCAGCGCGTTCGATCGCGTTGCAAATAATTCACGAGGAGAATCGAAGCGGGCTGCGTCGCGCGGATCGCTAGGGTTCGATGAATCGATGGACAGCTGCAGCACGCGCGAACCTTTAACCGGGGGAACAATGGGTGCTGAAGAAACCGCGGCAACAGAAATGCACGGCGAGAGGACGAATCTCGCGCGATTGCGATGTCACGGACTGGCGGCGATTCGAAACGCAACGGCCGCTGGTGGGCGTATTGGAAATTGTGACTCAGCATTCGACTTATTAACGACACGAGGAAGTCTCGTGCCGCGTGTACGCGCGTTCATTGAAAGCCGCGGGACTGTACAAAGGTGGATGACACACCTAAGATCTCGCTCGTCTGCGCACAGTGGCTCGAGAGAAACTCTGAATTTCGAATTTTCGACGGTCCCTTGATACTTAAATTCTTATTATTTCGTAAAGACTGGTAAAACAACAATAAATCTGGAATTATTTTAACGCTTGAAAATATTTTTTATACGAAATCGTTTATATACAACTTTTTATAAGTCGTATTTAAATTTTACTCTAAATTTGTACATAAATTTAAATTTTACTCTAAATTTGTATAAATTTAAATTTTATTCTAAATTTATAAAATCATTTAGAAACTGTATATTTTTATATAATTTTATATAAATTCATATTTGAACACAATTTAGGATATATCTATGTTGAACTTGAAATCCGATTTGTGTTATGTCAGAACGTTCTTGTCTGTCTTCTCTGTGTATTTTCGTCCACATTCGAACTAATACGAATTTTATGTGAAATAATGGAAATAATGCTTGCATACTAGTCGTAAATCACGCATGTCTATTAGAATCGTGCACACCATACGTAACATGGTGGGCATGATTCAATTCTCCGATAATGTCTGATTGTTTCAGATTGGAATTCCATTTCGAAGACTCACTATCCAGCTGTAAGATTGGTTCAAGGAATGGTGAGTAACATGAACGAATACGACCCAAGTGTGACCCCGCTCAGTTGAACCGATTGAACTCGGTAAGGACAAGTTTATTCAAAACTCATCCGAGTTTCGATTGAACTAATGATAAGAGAACAATTGGTGCAAATAATTTCTATATACTGCAGGGAATTTAGTAATAAATTATTCGTTGCTATATTCTAAATACAAGGTCAAACACGAATTAATCATCCCTCCTGTTAATTGATTGAATCGTTTTTGTTATTTCTTTGAAATATTCGATTTTACGAAGATAATAATTGTAAATAGAATAAAATTAGTTCGACACGTAGCTTTTATAATTATTTTATTAACAATCGCGTAGGTAGTTTAAATTTCTTTCCCATAATAGAGGTAGAGGGAACGACCATGTAACATCTTAACCAGGGTCAGAATCACATACGCAACACAATTTTTTAATGGCGGCAGAATGTCCTTTTACAGAGCATCTAACTGGGTCAAGCTGTGTCCTTGACATAGTGATGGATAAGGAGAAGGCGCGAGAAACGATGAAATGACTATGACTGAAATAAACCGAAGAAAAATGTTCAAATTCTAAAAATCATGATTCATAATGCACAATGCACAATGAGAATTGTCTTTAGTAATTAGCAAAATGCAGAAGCAACGTGCACGTCTCTTAGTCACCTTTACGAGTTGAAAATAAATTTGTCAGAATTCCGAGATAATCGACTGCAATTAAAAGTATGATTTCCTGTTAGATAGCGATTAAATTCTAGAATAAAGGATTAGATTGTAGCTGGGACGACGAAGTATACTACGTACACTATAATTTTTATGCGAAATAAAAAATTTTCCAAGATGATTGCAAGAACCGGAAATGAAATAAAAATAAATTGTTTCCTCAAATAATATGAATAAGCTGAGAACAGCGTAACAATATTGTCAAATTCTTCTTATGTCCTCGCAATTTTATATTGCAGCTACACATTTTTGCCATAAATTATAACACAAGACAGGAGGCCAAAACAGAATTTCGTTTCCAGCGAACGTATTCCGAACCTCAATAATAATTTCTTACAGTCGCCTTGCTCGATTATTTTTACCTTTCATACGGCGTCGCGCATAATTATGTTAATAGCAATATCAACATTGTCTTTCCACTTGCACTTTACACCATCTCATTTCATTCGTATTCACAATTCGAACCGTCATTTTCAAATCTTCGAAATTACAGAAGAACTCTTCCTTAATAAACGATTGAATTAGCTCTTTTATTCGAGCTTACATTTTCATCGAAAAGCTTGGTAGGGTTAAGTGTTAACACTGTGCCGTCCGCAGATCTTAGATACGATTCTTTTGTTTGACGCCGGCATAATAGCTTGGAAATTTTAATTTAAAAAAAAATTTCGAAGATGGCGGTAATATAAATTCCTAAAATTAAGATAAGTCACTGAAGAATTTTCGTACTTAATTCTTAATTAAATAAGCACAATGCTATAGTTAGTTTGCTTCCTTTTAACACTCAAAAGAAATATAGTTCAAATGTTACTTCAGTTTTTTAAAATGGCACCAAAGTGGTACTGATCATTTTTGCATGGCACCAGCGTGGTGCCACCGGACGGTGTAGTGTTAACATTATCAATTAGATGCCTACTAATAGAATATTCGAGAGTGCAAAGGGTCAACTTAACTTACTCGTCGCGACACAGACTGTTGCCATTTCTTCACGACGAGTAGACTCGACGAAACCGGCCAACTGATTAAGTAACAGATTGCGAATTCACACAGAAACTATGAAATCATCGTCGGCAGGTGACGGTGTTAAAAAGTGCATGTCCGAGGCATCGAGGAGAAGAAAATGAGCGCGACCGGCCCAGAAAAGAAGCCGCGGTAGAATGGAAACGGCCGGGACACGGGCCGGGAATTAAAGAAAAACCAATCGGCCGTTCGAGCATATTATGCAGCCTCAGAATTTCAATTGACTGTGCCCCGGTTAACGCCGGAATCTCTGTTCCGGCACACGGAGACACCATTATGGCGGCCGGCCTCGATAGACGTGCCGCTAAACGGTCATTTTATTTTTAACTCCGTACACATTCATTTGTGCGCGACTGCCGAGTGAGACAAAAGGTGGAGTTTATTTGAACTCAATAATATTGACTGGCCGTCGCGTCGAGGCCGGAGGATCCGCGAGTAGCCGCGGCGCCGAGCATCAGCTTGGAAGATTGCTACCAGAGCCGGAGAACGGCCCTAACACCTGCCAAGTTCGATGAATCAGTGAACCGTCATCGCGCCGCGCTGCACACTGCCTACACGCCTATATCGCGATTCCAGTGGCTCAGATATCCCAAAACGAACCGTGCAGACGAGCGAGTGTTTCATTCAATATCTCGGACACAAAGAAATGCATAATCAATCTTAGACTTCTCTAATCTGTCGAAGGTGAGTCAGCGTTCGTTTAGTCTGATAATCAAATTCGACGGTTTAATAAATATGCATCTTACTTGATTAAAAGTACATATTACAGTGAAGTATATAACACATTGTTTTTATTAATTATAAAAGAATACAATATTCTCATTGACACGATACAAATTTGTATCATATGTTAAGAAGCTTTACTACAGACAAAAATGGTAAATAGATTTATGTATGATTCTAAACGCATTCCAGTTATATTTTTATGAAAAAAGTCGAACGTCGCCGATCCACTAAATTATTTTATTTTTCGTGCCGTAAGGTTATCGTGTAAAATACACAAATGAAAATTGAGAATATTTCTAGTTCTTATAAAATTCACAGCAACACGATGATTTTTATTTCAATTCTACTTTTGGTATATTAAAATAAAATATACATATCGTTATATATATAAATCAGAAAAATCTTCCGAGTACAAAGGATTAATATAGTAAACGTAGGAACGAGAAAGAGTGCTAATTAGATCTGTACACATCGCCTTCGAACTTTTGACCCGCTGGTTTCGTGATCGGTGCCACTCCGCGCAGTGTTTCTCAAATATTTAAGTGCGCGTGTAATTACGATTCCCGCGATACGTGGCTCGTGTTGTCAGTTTTTTTTCCTCCCCTCCGCTGCACCCTTATCTAGATCAACGCTTGCTATGTACACCGCGTATCTGCGCCGTAAATACGACGGGAAAACGTGTGCGTAACGACGCTGCTGCACTACAAGGTGTTCGAGCGTCATTACTACTGGGAATTTCCCCGGTACAATGTCCGGAGGTTTTAATTCTAGACGAGCAAGCTATAGATTGCTGTAATGACGGGCTAAGCGGTTTATTTAATTACGCTGTGCTACGATTACAATGGAAACAGTCATTTTCTTGCGGTCGCGGGTTGAACTTATACGGCATGGTACACGATTTTGCTATCGATTTCAGACGGGGAGGTGCACTAAACACTGGACCGACTAATGGAAATGGTTTCCGATTTTTTTTTCTTTTACAATTGTTGATATTCTAACGATGTTTTCGTGAGAAAATGTTAGATCAACTTGTAAATTGTGCGAATAGTATGTACTAGAAGTATGTACTAAATAAAGCAATATTGCGATACAAACGTGTTATATGTTTCACTATAATATGTACTTTTAATCCCATAAGATGTGTATTCATTAAACTATCAAATTTGACTCAAATGTTTACGATACGTGAAGTCGCGTTTAGGATTCAGTAGTTCCAGTGTCAATGATACAGTTATCGAGGATATTCCTACATTATCTTCAACTTATTAGAAACTTCTAAAAAATCCGCAGTCTACTTGTTAACATCACATTGACTGCATTTCATGCGCAAATTGAAAATTTCAACTGTTACGATCCCCCCCGGAAAATTTGAGAGGCATTTTATCTGTTTACGATTTTTAATGTTCGTAATTATTAATTGTAACAACCGAAATTCACAGTTCTTGGAATTGTGGAACGAAACGAGCCACAATGTATTTCAATGCATCGCAAATGAATGGATGCATTGCGATTCAGCGCGCGAATTTTCTGAACTTTTCCAACTCGGATCCGTGATTTATCGTGCGTACTAAAAATAGATATTTTCCAGCGTGTATTATTGTGCTTCCTTGTTCGGACTCTCACTCGGACAGAATCCGTTCCGCTAAAAAAAGCTGCAGGTAATAGCGCGCATAAAACCGTCGCGGGGGACGTGGAGTGCAAATGAGATATGCAACGGAATCCTGTAATACAATTAGCCGACTGTTTTCGTTTCCGAAATAGCGGTCCGGTAAAAGCGGAAAATCGTTCGTACAGTTCGCGAAGCACTCTCCCGAGACGCGTATTTTCCAATGGTGTCAACGATTCGTTCCTTGCGATACTATAAATAAGGAGAGCTAATTGCCGATAATTTTTATTGCATAGCCATTCGAAAGATTTGATATTATGACTAGACCCCTCGGATTTTGTGCAAAATAATTCTAATTCTGTGCCTCGATTGTAACAAACCGAAGTTAAATAAACATTTATTTTCTTTCTTAACAGTTTTAATAATTTGAAAACAATCTGACAGCATTGTTTTACTCACGAATGGACTGCAGATTTTGTGCATTCATGGTCAAAATGGAATGCAGGTTTGTTACGTCCAATTATGTTATGTCGAATTTATTGAAACAATTCAAGGATGCACATTTTTATTCGGCTGTTGTTAAATTAAAATGCACGGAATAATATTGTAAGAGCTCAGTCAAAGTTTCCTCGTCGTATAACCGCCATAATCCTTCATTCTAAAATGCCTTGATTCCCTTGATTTATACACAGAAAGTGTTCTGCGTCGTTTACAAAGCGTGAAAAAAGTTTCCCACTGGAAACACGGTACAAGCAAATTCAATTCGACTAACAAACATGTAAGAGAACGTGAAAGTCGTTATTGCAATTACTGATACCAAAACGTTATCTCCAGTAGTTCCCACTCTGCGTCACACGGAACAACTGATAACATGGTCCTACCAAGCTAGATGCATAAAGGGGCACTGTAACCTTACTCTCTCTCTCTCTCTCTCTCTCTCTCTCTCTCTCTCTCTCTCTCTCTCTCTCTCTCTCTCTCTCTCTCTCC